AAAAAAAAAAAAAAAAATTAAAACAAGGAACGGGTCCTGTGGATATAGCTCAGCACTCCTTAAATTCAATTCCCAGTACTGAAAGCAACAAAAAATAAACAAAAATGAATTCATTAGCAAGGAGAGATAAAACTTGGAGTACGGTGAGAATCAAAAATGAGATTCTCCATGTGAAAGTCTTTCATAAACTGTCTAGAAGCATTTCAGATTTCAGGCTGTGTGAGTGTATACGGGGGAGGGAAAGATGGAGAGAGAGCGGGGGGAGGGGGAGAGAGGGAGGGAGAGAGAACATGCGCACACGTATGCGTGTGTTGTGTATGTGAGGGCTACTACAGATAAAATGGAATGGCTATTTGACGCCAAAAATAAGTAAAAAGCACTCAATTTTAATTTGGCTCAGCTTCCTCCTTCCAACAACACACACAATCCAATTTTCGGTTGCCATACTACACAGAGACTGGAAGAATGAGCACAGGTAAGAATACTGTAAAGATCCTGTTTGCCAATAAAGATTGGCTTCTTGGGTCTGTGCCAGTTTGCACCCAAGAGTCCTTCACTCCCTATCCACTAATAAGGTGTGAGTATTCCCAAAAGTTAAATTTTTGGTTTTTTGAGACAGGGTCTCACTATGAAGTCTAAGCTGGCCTTGGAACTCACTATGTAGCCCAGGTTGGCCTCAAACTCATGGTGATCTTCCTGCATCAGCTTCCTGAGCATGTGCTACCATGCCGGGCTTCAAAAGTTAATCCTTAACTCCTCCCTTCTGTTTCATGATATGTGTGTGTGTGTACACGCGCGCGCTGGTGCTAGGTAGGGATCAAACTCAGGACCTAGGCAAGTGCCCAATGACTGAACTATGTCCCCAGTCCTTTCTTTTACCTTGAGAGAGAGGGTTTCACAGTTGTCCAAACTGGCCTTCAACTTGCAATCTTTCTGCCTTAGCCTCCTGAGCAGCTAAGATTACAAACATCTGCTGTACTGCCATCCCTGGCCGTTTCCTCATGTTTTTCTTCAGCTTCTGCTATAACTCAAAGCTGTCTCTTCAGACCAGGGATGTAACTGGATGGTAGAGGGCTTTCATAGCACGTGCAAGGTCCTGAGTTTGATCCACAGCATCACAAAACAACAACAAAAAATACTAAGAAGTTGGGCATGGCTGGGCATGCCTATAATCCCAGCTACCTGGGAGGCTCAGGAAAAAGAATCAAATTCCAGGCCAGCCTGGGCAACTCAGCAAGTCACACCCCCACCCCCACCCACCCTCTGCTCAAAGAAAGTAGGGCTGGAGGTATAGCTCACGGTTAGTACCCCTGGGTTCAATTTCTAGTACCAAAAAACAAAAACAAAAACAAACAACAAATAAACACATCCCACATTAAAGAAAGGCAAACAAAAAAATCAACTGTCCCTTTAAGCATTGTTATCATATAACCCAGCAATTCCACTAGTAGATACATACACAAAAACATATGTCCATATAGAATCCTGCATGCAAATACCTTTTTTTTGCAAATATTCTTTAGTACCAGTCACAATGGCCAAAAATTAGGAAACAATCCAAATGTGTATCAACTGATGAGCAGATAAACAAACTATAGAAGGGCTGTACAACAGAATATTATTCAGCCATAAAAAGGAATGAAATATTAATGCAGGTTATAACATGAACAAACCTTGACGTGTTAAGTGAAAGAAAGCAATCACAAAGAACCACATATTATAGTGATCCCATTTACATGAATCATCAAGAATAGGCAAATGTAGGGACAGGGATTTAGCTTGGTGGCACAGCACCTGCCTGGTCCTGAGTTTGATTCCTGGTACCTCCCCCACCTGCAACAGGCAAATCTATAGAGACAAAGGAGTTCCGTGGCTGCACAGAGCTGGAGGTGTAGGAGATCTAGTGAGTGGCAGCCAGGGACAGTTTCTTTTTGGAGTAACAGCATGACAAAACAAAACTGATCATGGTGCTAGCTTAGCTGTACAACCTGACCACACTAAACACCACTGACTCGTAACTTAAACTTGTAGTTATATGGTTGGTGAGGTTTTTTTGCTCCAGTGCTAGGGATCAAACCCAGGGCCTCATGTATACTAGACAAATGCTCTATCCCTGAGCTACAATCCCAGTCCATGTGAATTATATCTAATAAAGCTGATTTTAAAAAAAAATAGTTGTAGTTATATACAGCTTAGTGATAGGGCACTTGCCTAGCATGCCTGAAGCCCTGGGTTTGAGCCCCAGTATGAGGCGGTGGCTGTCTCTGGCCCCAACTTTTCTTTCAATTCCAGACCTTTTTCACTGACAGGGATAGGGGCCCCTACCCCCAATTTTTTAAACAGTTCTAAACAAGAACCCAAGCCACATGTAGTAGTGCTTGCCTGTAATCCCACCAGTTGTGAGGCTGAGGAAGGAGGATTACCATGAGGAGGCCAGCCTGGGATACAGAGTGAGTTCAAGGCCAGCCTGGACTACATAGCAAGACCTTGTCTTACAAAACCAAAATAAAAAAAAATAATAATAATAAATAAAATAAAATAAATTACTTAAATTAAAAAAAATACAACCCATTCAATCCAATGAATAGCTGACTCTTTCTAAATGCAAACAGTTCTAAGAAACAAAGATGAATAAGATGTGCTCAGTAAACTTACAGGTTACATGTACGTTTGTGTTGGGGATTACATCAGTGGCTTTGTGTGCATGCTAAGTACATGCTTTCCCACTGGGCCGTATCTCCACCCCTACATGTTTATTCTTCATCCCGTTGCCTCTCAGTAATATCATAATTTTTCTAGAGTTCAGACTCGAATCCCAAGACATAGCTGCTATTGACCTGTCACTCTCCATCTGATCACCACTTGTAACCTTCAGACTCAAC